CGACTTTTTCCAATAAAAATCAGTGTTGCGTGCGCGGTGAAACAGTCGGTGCTGCAGTCGTTCAAATATCAGCTGTAGGTCCCTGGAAGAGTTGATACACTTCAGTGAGAGTTTCTTTCAGTCACTGCCACTCATGCTCTGCCCACTCGTCATTATGAATAATGAATGAGCATCATGCACCACCTACGCCTCAGCCACCACTCCACTGTTCTCACCAAGCTCTCATGACTCGGAACAATCATTCCCACAGCAAAACTCACACGTTATTTTTTTATTTATTTATTTTTTACTGGATAAACAACGCAGTGTTTCAAGTATGACATAACGAGAAGAGATGAAAATATAAAACGGAATAAGTGTTTATTTTGATGGTTGCAATGTGAGATGAGATGATATTTGTTGGCACACTGGACTGAGCCTGTTGAAAATACAAAAGACAGCACACACTGTACAGTTTGCATTCCTGGTGGTTGGTTTTGATGACATCAAATTGTGGGCTTCATTGTTGCCTGGGGAGAACCAGGGAACAGACCATAAAAGAATTGTTGTTTTCTCCAGATAAATTTTACATATGACAAATCTCAGTTTACGTGACTCTGAGCAGTGGAAAACCAAACACAGCTCTGTTTTTGTAGCCTATGTTTTGTTGTCTATTCTACAGAGGAGGACAAAGTCATTTTAGAAAATGGAAATGAAGCCAAGGACTCAGGAGAGGTTTTTTTTTTTTTTTTTTTTTTTCAGTCATCAGCAATGTTCGGATCTGTGTGGGCTTTCAGGCATCCTCACAAAGATGTCTGACAGTGTTTGTTACAGGACAACTATTTATTTGAATGTTATTAAATATTAATTTGTAAGTCTTTTACATTTGGGAAAGCGTATTAAAAATGATTGTTTATTTACATCTGGTCATTATATGTGCATGTACCACAGCAATTACAGCAACTTCTTCTGTGATGATTTCTTGAGTGTCAGTTGATCAGTAAGCCAGTAAGACCCAATCACCTGCCACTTTTCTCCATTTGGTTGCTTTCAACAGAAGCCAAAAACAGTATGTTGAGATTCTTGGCTCAGAGAATGCGCTTTTCTCTCTCCATACATTGGACATGGGCAGAGGCTGGGCAGTGAGCACTGATCAGTGCCATGCACCAGATTGCACAGTGAAGAGGCACCGAGGTGGACAGAGCCAGCCCAGTGACGACAAGTGGCTCTCTATGCTGGCGGGTCTCCCATTGGCACGTGTGTTCAAGGCCTGGGTAAAAACAGATGGCATGTGGGTCTGAAAGGGGGGTGGGAGGTGGGCTGGGAGGGCAGGGGCTGTGTGTCTCACCACACAAGCTGCTTATTGAGAATAGAGACACCTATCATCTGCAGTCTGACGTCACACTGTCAGGGAAACCGCAGGAATAGGTTGGAGAGAAAATCCTACTGAGCATGACATTCTACAGAAATGGCACAAAAAAGCTACAACTGCTCTGTGGGGGTGCAGTCTTATAATTGCCTTTGTTGACACTAAAAGTATTAATATTAGCTCTGAAATAAGTCTGAGATAGTCTGAAACAAAATGAAAACTTTCTGCAGTAGTTCAAACTAGGAAGTGTTCCTTGATGCACTTGTAGTGTCCTGATCTTATATTATACTTCTAAAAATAAAATGACTCAACTGTCAAGATTCCAATGATTCCAACCTGCATCGTTCAAACATTGTGACTCTCTTTACAGGTAACCAGCCAGGAATCTTCCAACAGCCAATAAGAACAGAAGAGGCCTCTTCTAGGAGAGTGGTAGTCGGCCATGTTTAGGTCAGTCCAGGTCGTTCCTCCTTAGAGATAATTGTTTTTGTGCAAATCGTTTGTGAATTGTTGTACTGTGCTATTAATGTCTTCAACGGTACGTTGTAAACCTGAGCCTTACAGACGTAATTGTGTGGAAAATGTCTTAAGACATTTACCTCCTTCAACATGAATGTCTCTGAAATTCTTCAGTAATTTACTTTGTAAATGTCTGACAAGGAAAAACGCAACAATGCCATGTTTACTTCCAGTACAGTATATACAGTTTCAGACCAGCCCTCTTCTCATTTTACACCACGACATCATTCATATCCTAACCTTAACTAGTAAGGTGTATCTTCCCAAAGACCATAAATGGTTTTATCCTGATTCTGTTCTTGGTTGTCGTAAGTTTTCCTACCTCGGAGAGTTTTTTTTCTCTTCTTTGTCCTTAGTCAAAGAAGGATATCTACAACTGATGTTTCATAGTAACATCTTACCCCTCCTGTACAACTGATGTTTCATAGTAACATCTTCACTTCAGCATAGTTACTAGCAGTGCTTAATTTGGAATAACTCTTTGGTGAAGTCTGGAACATGGACATAGAACCAAGTCATATTGTGTGAAAATTGGTAAATTATGCTCTGGGTCTCATTTCATGTGTTATCTTACCACAATACTGATACAGTCCATCTGTCTTGCCAAATTTTTTTTTTTTTCATGTTGTATTTCCAGCGTGCTGGAAGCGAGAGGGTTACTGACCTTGTGTCTTCACTCTGGCTGGCACGAACACACACTATCCTTCACAAAGCTGACACTGTCTGGAGGAAAGTCAGTCTATTGTGAACCGGGAGAGCACAGCTTCAGGGGAGGGGATTGAGCAGATCACATGTGACTGTATGTGGGCTTCCCTGTCATTGATAAAATATCTGCCCAACCCAACGGAATGCAGGAAAAGTAAAGTCAATTTAGGTAACAATTTTATTTGAAAGTCAATGACGAGTCGTAATAAATATAAAGGTATTTAAACATTAGTCTATTTTAAATGTGCATTTAACCTGTATTGCATTCATAAATATCACAGGAAACAAGCTTATATTTTGGTGCAACACAATAGAATTTCCTTTAGAGCAACCAGTTGTACTCTAAAAAGCTTATATTTTGGTGCAACACGATAGAATTTCCTTTAGAGCAACAAGTTGAAAAACAAAGTTCATGCTACTTCTTTAATGTGCCTGTTTGTCCCAGTTCCATCAATAATTAAATTAAATGATACAACAACAAAAAAAAGGTAGGTACAACAATGTTAACTTTTACCCCTAGGTATGGACCATGGGGTAAAAGTTAATGGTATTCTCTGAGATATTTCGCTGTGAAATGATACAACAACAAAAAAGATAGGTACAACAATGCTAACTTTTACCCCTAGGTATGGACCTAAGGGTAACAGTTAACAATGGTATTCTCTGAGATATTTCGCTGTTTGACTTGGGCATCCTCTAGTGGTATGTGGGGGAGTTTGATTCTCATTTGGATTGGTTCGTTGGATTCAGTTAAATACCACCAAAAAGACTGAAAGTAATTATTAAAAATACATTTTCTTTCTCATGTACCACAGGGTACACCTGTACTGCTGTATTTTAATATTGGTTTTACTGATGACACTTGAGGGGACAAATATTTTGTTATAATATCAATAGGGAAAACCAAACTGGTGTCACACTAACACGATGTAGGTTTTTGTAAATTGGACCTTTGGTTCACATCCATCTCTGTTTCATCTCCCACACTCTCTCACTCATCCAGTCTGTCGATCTGTTCACGGCTGACCTCTCTGCTCCAAGCACCAAACAGAGTCTGGACAGTTTGGGATGATTTCTCTCGAGGTAGGTCTTGGTGTCTTTATGCAGCTGCTCCAGAGCTCCTGGCCGGCTCTCGTCCAGGGAGACCAGGGTGCTCAGCATTGGGTTCAATCGGAAGTAGACATCTGGGGGGAGCAGGTCGTCCAAAAGGGTGTGAACGCCTTCGGTGTCTGTGGCGCTGCAGATCAGGTTGCTGATTTTGGCCCTCAGGCTGGTGGATGTGACAGGGCCCTTTTTTGCATTATCATAGCGGCCGGTGCCAAGGGACAGCACGCACTGGAAGGGCTGGTTGGGCCACAACAGACGGCTTTCATGGACAGCCAAGGCACACGGGTTGTTCAGGAGAATGCCTCCGTCCTACAGGGGTTTCAGGCACAGGGTCAAAATCCATCAATTCCTTAAAAAAAATAGGTACAAAAATAGCATTAGCTTGTACCTGATGAATATCACTTTGCAGGGGGAACTCTTGAAAGTAGCCTGGTGCTGCAGAGGAGGCCCTCACTGCCTGCCACATCTGGAAGGCCGAGCTTCCTGCGTAGCGGCTGAGCGAGCCGGGCTTGTGGTTGTAGTTACGGAAGACAAAAGCCTTTGGACTGGTGCCCCAGTTTACCACTGCACTTACTGCTGACACCTGAGGAAACAGCAGACATTCTGTCATTCTTGACCTCGGCTCACGCACCAGTGACCTGCAACTCTAAATGTGCTGCTATTAGTCATATATCCAAGAGGGGTCGCTCTCCTGCAGCAGCTGTAATTTTTTTATTTGCTGCAGAGGTGGATTATAATGACAAGAAATGAGTGATTCAACCAGTGCTTTTCACCTTAGGACTGAACTGGTCTCTGGCTGTTTTAATTAGAAGCTGATTTCCCAGCTTCTCTCTGAACAGGATGTAAAAGCAAAAGGTTTTTAATCAGGAATTATTTCATTGTTTTTATTATATATGTGATTTGTAAGCAGCAGATATTCTTTGAGTACATACTGTAATATTGTTTCCCAGGTCTCAGTTTTGTAGTAGGAGTGACTCCAGCCCATTTGTACCGTTCCAACCAGCGGGTTTTGCCGAAAAACCTCAGATCCAAACCGTCGATACATGTCACCACATTCCTCCAGAGAAAAATGGGCCAGACCCAGCATGAAGGCTAAAATGGCACCTTAAATAAATGCACACACAGAACGCCCCGGAAAAATCAGCCACAGATTAAAAAAGTAAATAGTATATGCAGTATATATATATATATATTTTTTTAATTTATTTTTAGCTGTTTTGTGTTACCTGTGCTCACGCCGCATATATAGTCAAACAGCTGGTGGATCTTTTTTCCAGTCTCAATTTCCAGTAGCTTTAACACCTGCAGGGGCACGATACCTCTGAAAAAAAAAAGGTGGAAATATTTAAAATACACACATCGTTTGGTAAAAGTGTTAATCCGATGCTATTAAGTAGCATATAACAGACATGAATGTGATGAGCTAGCAACTAGCATGTCGATGGCATACATACAGTACATATAATTCAAAATCTGAATTTTACTGCCACCTACTGGGTTTATCAGCAACCACAGATCCTTATAACCCACAGTTGCTGTTCTATATCTCTGGATTGCACAGAACAAAATCAAATTTTTTAAAATGCGTTACCTTGTACCACCACCATCAATAGATAGTACTCTTATGCCACGTCCCTTGACTGGATCCACATAGCCAATCAGAGCCAGTGTTTCTCTCAAGGTGCTCTGAAGCAAATGGTCTTCTCTGTGTGTTCGCCGCATTTTCCCCAGCATCCCTGCCGTTTTCCCCTGAAAACAGAAACATCTGAAAGAACTCTTAGGCTTGAAACAACTTTTAAATACTTTTATAAATCTGTTCTGTTTTGTTTTTTGTTTTCACTTCCAACAGACCTGCCACATTAAGGCTTTGCACCATGGGTAACAGATGAGGTGTTCATTCAGTGCTTCAACACTGGCGACCAGAGCTCCTGGAGAGGAGGCCAGGCACAGACTGTCAATCAGCCTGCCTGTGGTTTCTTCCACTGGTCTCCCACTTAGGACAAGCTTCCAGAAAAAGTGACATCATTACTAACATTTTATATTTCAGGCTTCACTAACAGCCTGTACATTCAATATATATATTAGGCTTATAGACTGTATATAAGGGGACAAATGCCATTCGGTTCTAGCATCCTAGGAGGTCAGTTAAAGAAAATACATCAGTGAATTTGTTATTGAATTTGTTTGACAGTCATGGAACAGAGCAGGTTCATTACTGGATCAAAGCGCCCCATAGGTTGATAGCTTCCACTTTTGAACGTACTGTATCTGAGCTAGCTATGATGTTTTTACTATTCTTCTCAATAAGCAGACAGTTCTGGATGTGTCGGATTAAACGTTCTCTGACGTATTTTTAGTGACAGCTCTTTGAGACATCAGAGCCATGTGATGAATCAATCACAGTTCTCCTGAAAGTAGTAGCATTTGAATACCTGATTATTTACTCATGAACTTACCTTTTTATTCACTTTTGCACCTGTTGAAGTCACAGCGCTTTTGTATTTACTCGTCTTGGACGAGGGATTCATGTAAAAACCTAAGAAGTCTGGGATGGCACTGGTCGGGTTTCGGAGGCAATCCATGATAGATTTGGGTTTCGGTCTTTCAGAGGTAGAATGTACAGCATCGGTGTCTCCATCGGAGGCATTTTGGCCCTTAAAATACTGATTGATGTGACTGGCCATTTGGAGGTAGTTCTCTGCAAAGTCAGTTATTTGGCTGCTGTGGAAAAGGCCTCCCTTCTCCTGGGAGACGGAGTCTTGTTGCCTCGTGTTTGACGTAGCACCGGTGGTTTGCGAGGTTGGTTGTGTTGTTGATTTCAAAGTGTAATCCTTCACAGGAAGTTGATGTGTTTTGTTGTGAATTTCATCCGTGACCTTGGCACCAAAGTATTTGTTGATGTGCTTTGCAAAGTGTCGGTAGGTCTCGTCCCAGCGTCTGGCGGCGGGGTCGTTAGATTCAACAGTACTGACTGACTTCACCTGGGATTTCTTATCATCTTCAGAGGAAACACTGTAAGAGTTAGAAACTATTCTTCTCTTCCGTCCTCTGTGTACTCCTTTTGTGGAAGACTCATCGTTCTGCAACGACAAACTCTTGGAAAAGACAGAGTTTATGTGATTGGCGACGTAAGTGTAACTCTCGCCAAATCTGTTCGCAAAGGAGCTGATGTGGAACAACTGTAGTCTGGGTATCTCTGGGTTTGATTGGTGTTCATCTTTAGTCTCCTGTTGTACTTCATGTGTATGGACCTGTGCAGTAACTTTGTCCTCAGATGTATTCTTCTCTCGGACTTTTCTCCGGTATCGTCCGTGTGTATGTGACGTCACGGGATGTTCTGGAGGTAGATCCAAACGAGGCTTTTCAGCTACAGCCACATTGTCTTTCTTCTTAAAGTAATGATTAATGTGTGCGGACAACTGACCAAAACTTCCTCCGAGAGATTTCCAATCAAAGCCTCTCCGAGACTCCTCTACGATCCCAATGGGAGGCTGTGGCTTAAAGACATCCCTGTTAGAGGACGAATAAAATCGGACGTCCTGGAGATACATCCTTCCTTGACTGAAGTCTCTGAGCGGGAGGAAACACTCGGCCTGTTTGTCATTTTGGTTTAAATTTTTTAAAATGTCTCTTCTTGAATATCTGGGAAGGTGTGACAGCTGTGAACATCTGTGTCTGGCCAGGTGATGATGTCTTCTGAGAAGGCTCATCAAATACCTAATTTTGCAGTACGATGGTAGAGTCCTGTTAACAGACCTTGAACACATGTTGGTAGTGAGGTTGGAACGTGGATGTACTGACGTGTAGTTTGTCAGTGTCACATTTGAACCAGATTTGGTCCGGAGCAGGATCTAAAGAAAAAAAATAATTAAAAAGGAAAAATAAATAAAAATAAAAAACAAGCCGGGCAGCTTATGCTTAAAAATATTTGATCTGATTCATATGTTAACAATTAATTACTGGGATTAACCTGTACATTCTGTGGCTCACAAACAGGAGTCAAATAACGTCTGAATAGAAAGATAGATGTACTTTATTAATCCCATCATTAGAAAGTCAATTTCACTGCACATTGTAAAGACAGGTAAAAAACATCAACAAGGGCAGAATGAATGACAAAAAGTGTAACATTTTCCTTGGACATTATAAACAGAATGATACTAAAGTATTTCAGTTGTGCACCAAGAACATCAACAATAATTGTAATATTGATAAAACAGGTGTGCAGCTATAAGAAGGCCAACATATACCGTGTTGTTTTTCACTATCGTAGGCAAGGTCATGAACCTAAGTGGCTTACTGAGTGAAGCTCTGCTGACCGTGACAGAACATAAATATCCAGAAGGTAAAAGGATTCACTGGAGATTTACCTTAAACTCAACTCTGAGTCTCTTCTTTCTCAACCAATCCTCTTCATTTTAACATTTATCTGTCCTCTAAAATGTGCTCATGTCACTGCTGACATGTTTGGAAGGAGAATGCTGTGTTTTGACTCCTGATTTGTTTTCATGTCCTGTTGTGCAGTGCTGTCATTTTATTGGCTGAGATGAGCTAAGGGGTGGACCTGGTTGACCAATGACACGAAAGACCACACATGCTGGGGGGTCATGTGCTGTGACTGCTGACTGCCCATGGTGGAAGTGCAGCTCTAAAATTAGCATTGTGACAGTTGCTGTTAGCTGTTAGCACACTAGCATCTAAAGTGTGCACTTGCCCTTTAAATAAACAGAGAACGAAGTTAAACTGATTTGGATCAAATAGTTCAGATATGTTAGAATAAATATGAAATATTTACATCCTTAAACACTTTTCAAGGTTCCAGCCTACACAGCGTACAGTATACTGTACACAAGCACTCGTGTACTTTCAATAACAAAGATAATGATGAGCAAATACACGTTTTGTACAGTAGAGCTTCAAAGACTGTAAACCACAAGTTAAATTTTTTAAACTAAGTAACCACGGTTCCTAATTTGAAAAGAGATTTTTCATTCATACTTCATACTCTTATTTGGGAATTACAGAGACGTCTAGTGGTGGTTTTTTGTACCTGCTTTTCAGAAAAAAAAAACCCCATTGAAAGTGTATGGTCTTCACTACATACTTTTCGATCTAAACAAATTTAGGGTTAATATTGATTATGGTTTGTTTTTCTTTCCTTTCTTATCATTTATGAATTCAGGTGAAAGTCTGATATTATAAATACTTCTAAGTACTTTTTTTCTGCCATAAGTTTCTCTCGTACTGCAGAGCAATGTTGAAGTGAAATATATAAAACTGTAGCCTGTAACTTAACTAATAAATAATGGTTAATCCCATGAAGGGTGCCATTAAGGAGACACACTTATGTGTGTTATATATTAAATATTACTTTTGGATTAATAATTAACTGTGGGAACCTTGTTAGTGGATTGCAACATGACATTATACACAGACTGTAGATAAGTTATTAGAACATAAGAGAACTTTTAATCTGATGAATCAAACTTTAACCATGTGGTCGTTTATCTATTATTTTTTATTATTATTATTTTAAAAAAATAACCTTGTTAACTTCAACAACAAACAGAATGTGTTCCTTCCCCGTGTGGTCAAAGGTTAATGTGTTTTCTCTTAACTTTACCCAGTTGTTTAATCCTTGTCCTCGTCCACTTTGAGCAATCTTTGGCAAAGATGGTGAAGAGTTTGTCCATAAACGATCGCTCGTCGAGCTAGAACCGTGAAGTGACCCAGTCAAACAAGGACAACAGCGCCACACGTGACAGCAGATACCGGGATTCCACGTTTGGAACAGGCGAGCAGATATAACCGTATGTGTGACTTTAAATAGTCTTTTAAAAAAATAAAAAATTGACACCTTTATTTTATTTATATCATTTATTCCCAAAAATGATCCAACCTTCTTCTTTTTTTGAATCTTGTTATACTACAACTTTAGTTAGAGCTTTATTTTTTAACAACAGGGAAACAAAGATTTGAAGAATTACTTAATACTGTAATGTAGTACATTTGGAAATGTGCAGCTTCTTCCCCCCCAGAACTTCCCCTTTCATCCCATGACATTTGTCTTTATTCCTCTAAACTTAACTAAGATTGAGAGAAAGGCTGTGTTGCCATTTCAGACATTAGGGTGGTGATGATACTGAGGATACGTTAGTGACGGCATTATGTTAATGCTCGCAAGGTACCCTAAGGGCTGACGTTCAACAGAGCAGTCCTGTCGTGCAGACTGACGGGACAAGCCGCCGCCGCCGCTTCTGCCGCTGTGGGTGTCAATGAAACTACGCGTCGCAAAATAAAGTCGAAATGTTCCGGGCGAAGACACGTGACTGTGCACGCGGTGCTTTTTGCATTTCGTTGCCGTTGCACCGACTCTTTGTTAACTGCGCGTAACAGTGGAGAAATGTCGTGAGGGGTGTGAAGCGGCGTTTCTCCAACTGTTAACTGTGAGTTTTGGGGGTAACTTGACTCAAACTTTTCTAAATCGATCGTTTCCATCACTGTGTTCGTCTTACTGAACTGAGTCACGTCTCGGACACATTATATGGACGTTCAATACACTGTGGTTCACAACAGTTGATACGTTAAAAAGTTATTCACGCGTACTTTTATTTTGGGTTGCCAGATTGGACCAAACCTACTTTAGCTCTAGTGTTTTTGCTTTTGTTCTACTGGCACTTAAAAGGCAACCAAAGACATTCAGGCTAAATTCCACTGATAAGCTGCTTAGCAACCTTTACACCCAGTGACTCCATAAACTTAAAGAAAAGGAGAAAAAAAAGAACCTGTTAGCATTTCTGGTGGCTGAGACAATAGTGAAAAAAGTTATGGATCTTTTTGCAGTCATGTTATATATTACCAATTTCTATTTATTTTCCAGTAAAGGTTAAAAAAAAACACCTAACATAGGTGCTTTTTTTTAAAACAATATATATACTCCTTAACCAGTACAAAGTATTTTTAGTTGTTTAAAAACAAAGACATAAAATGGAGCACTGTTTCATCAGTATTTGATTTTTTTTTTAACTTTGTGACAAGTTAATATACAAAAAGGTTACAGTAAATATGCAGCAATTAATGTATTATTTTTAAGACTGTTTTTTTTAATATTACTATTAAAATGTATAATTTAATTTTTTGTTTGGTACTTTACAGTATTCTGAATACTACTGAATGTGGAACTGTCTGTTGTGTTGCAGGATATTTTGCATTTTCGTGAAGAAAAGTGTGTAATAACCATCTTTTTATATCACTATTATCCAATCTTTCGAGCCATGACTTGAAGATATTTGGGAGGAGATACTACAACTGTTTTCGCTTGGTCATTACAGAAAGTATTATGAGTGTAAAACACAAGGCCAACTAAAGATTCTCATGATCTGATCGTATCCTGCTCTGTTCCAATGACATGACGTGGTACTGATAGTATGTATATGTTGTTCTAGGGCTACGGTCTGAAGGATGAAAGTGCAGCTCAGCAGGTGGTTTAGGTGGAGGCTCTGACCTCTTCTGTTCAGGGTTGTTTTCCTTGCATTGTTGGCCGGCCCCTGTGTTGTATGGAATTTCAGGTTTGCCCTTCTTTGATATTTGCATGAGAAAGTCTGTGAAGCTCGAAACGCTGAACCGTCCTTAAGATGCACTCAAAGTCAAAGAATGTGTTTCTATAGAGTAAATAGGTGTGAACGATGCCCAGCGGCAGCATCAGTCTGTTTGTTTTTGTTTGTTTGTTTTTTTTAAAGTCAATGAGCGCACCTTTAGAGCCACAGAGTCAGAGACAAGAGAGGCTGTGGAACTAAAGCAAAAAACAAACCAACAAAATTACCCAGAAAACTGTTAGAAATTATTGTATCAAACAGTGTCTTTAGTAAAAACAAGCAGGTGTTGGCTCTTGTTATTGTTACCTGATACAGTAGTTGTGACACATGGGTAATAAACTAAATAATACAGACATATGTCACATCATGTCCCATACACAGCCTCTATTATTAGACCACAAACTATTTACAGGCAAAGACGTGGGGCAATCCATGCCCTTGAAGTTCTGACCATGGAAACCTGAGAGCTGTTTTGTACTTTAAAATTTTTTTTTTTTAAATCACAGGGGGTGTTGTGGAAAGTTATGCATTTTCACAAAACTGCTGTGAGAAAAATTTACTCCAAATAATATCTTTTGTTGTCTGTATTGCAGTAACAGGCTGAAAAAGCAAGTACTCTTCCACCAGATGGCAGCAGATTACTGTAAAAACTCAAAAAGTGAGAAACGTTTTGAGGAAAGTCAGAGACGTTCAAGGGTCTATGGGTGTTTCTTTTTTCAATTCCTGACAGTTTATCAATGCTGTGTTCAACTAAACGGGCCCAGGTTTTACACAGAGTAAGTTAAGTGTGAGTATTTAATGACATAAACCTTTGGGAAACCATTTTGTTTGTGAAAAATGGAATATTGTATGTGCAGCGGTTGTCGTTAGGCCAAAGGCAACATAAGAGTAATTATAGTTTATTTTATAGCCTTATACTGTAATAAAGACATGCAGGGATATGAGTCTTCCTGAATGATTAGGTTTACTATCAGTACCTGGGTTCCTTTGATAGCAGGACCAATGATACTGATGTAGTACATACATAGTACATCGTTTTCCTGGCTTTGTTGGCTTTATTAGTTTAAGTCTGTTTCCACACAGTGGTTTCATCTTTGTGATCAAGAACCTTGATTGGCCAAGTTTTTTCTTCGTCTTCTTCTTCTAATTATCTCACAATAGTTTTACTCTTCCTTCAAAGAGTACTTAAGTGTCTGTACTCAGTCTCTCTGTGTCCCCTCGACCCAAACTGTTATGTCTCACTGGCAGCATTGTTAATGGGATTAGCCTGCACTACCACAACCCTGACCTGCTGAAACCTTTTGTCTTCCTCTCGTTGCCTTCAGCCTTGGCCAGCCCACAACCCATTGTTTTAGCCTTGCTTTGATGAGTTTGGATAAAGCCTTTCTCTAAGTCTGACAGCACTGTAGTGCAGCGGCGAATGTCGCCTGTTCGTTTCCACTTAATGAATGTAACTGAAGTGAAGGTGAAGGCTGGACACAGAGGAGATTATTTTTTTTTCATTCTTTTACAACCTGAATATGTAAGTGTGACACACACACAAAAACACACACACAGTGTTATGTTTTTTTTTATGCATTGTGAGGACCCACAGTAGTCATAATGCATTTTCTAACCCTAACCACTACAAATGTTTACCTAATCTTAATCCTTAATTCTAACCCCGTCCAAACTAAATCTTAAACCTCCAAATACTTTATTTCTTAATGGGGACCTGAAAAAGCGTCTCCATAACAAGGCAAATGTCCCCACAAGTATAGCTATACCTGAATCACACATTCACACACTCACTGATTTTTGGGTTTGTAGCTTTTCGCCCAGACTTGATGCATCTCCTGGCTCTTTACCCTAACATGAACTATTATATAAATATACAGTAATCCTAATCCTTGTGCTTCCTTTTAGTGTAACCTTAGTTTAAATTTAGTCAGAATATTTCTGTGCACCTAAAGTAATAAAAGGCCTTGAAGACCTTGGCCGTGGGAAATCCTTTAATGGGTGAAGTGGCCACGCCCAGAGCACATCAACAACGCCGTCTGTCAGAAACTCCTCTTCATAGCTGTGGAGAGCGGAGCTGCTGTGCTATGCAGACTTGATTTTCTGGTACTTCATTCTATGTCTCATTGTCTTGACATGTGAAATGAAAGTGATCTGTTGTCATTGCACTGCTCACAACGAAACGTTGTCGGATCTCCGCCTTTAACCCGTCCAAGGTGAGTGAGTAGAGGGCAGCTCAAGATGAGCAGTGTGTGGGAACAGCGCCACGCGGTGGCTGGTAGATTCAAACCTGTGACCTTCTGGACACAGGTCCTGTTCCTTAACCTCCTGGCCACCACCTCTACTACCTCCACTTCTTGACACCTTTTTTTTTTCTTTTTCTCCTGTTTTTACTTTTTGCAGACAGTGATCCGGTCATGCCTCCTGCCGCAGCGTCCAAACTGGACTACGTCCCACCCGACGGGGGCTGGGGGTGGGCTGTGGTGTTGGGTGCTTTCATCTCTATAGGCTTCTCCTACGCCTTTCCCAAGTCCCTGACCGTGTACTTCAAGGAAATCCAGGCATATTTCTCTGTTTCCTACAGTCAGATTGCGTGGGTTTCCTCAGTCATGCTCGCTACGATGTACGCCGCAGGTCAGTGCCGACCGCCGTTGCTGCATTTCGTTGAGTTTCTGATAATAAAAAAAAATGTAAGTGACAGTTGTTTGTTTTTGTGTGCAGGCCCTATCGCTAGTATACTGGTCAACCGCTATGGCAGCCGTCCAGTGGTCATGGTGGGGGGGCTGATGGTCAGTGCTGGCATGATACTAGCATCTTTTGGCACTTCTATCGTACATCTGTATCTGTGTGTTGGAGTCATTGGAGGTAAATGAAGAAATCAGTTCAGTATGAAGTGTTTTTTTTTTAAATGTTTGACGTATTCTGGTCATTTCCCTGCAGTCGGACAGTCGCGTCCGCGCTGCGTTGTGCAGTTATGACGTTTTTACAAAGTGACCTCCGTCACAATGAACACAGAACAATGTCAGACTTTAAACTTAATCCGTCACCCAGTGGTTGTAAGAGATAAGGCTGAGCATAGTACTGCAGTAATGTAGTATTTACAAAAGAATGTCTCTAAATATCATGGAATGACTGTAGCAGCGCAGTAGTACGGGGGGGGTGGGGGGGAGTACACAGCCACATTACATAGTAGCATAGTAACCAGAAGTGGTACATCCAGCCTTGAACTTTAATTTACTTCGTATTCTCGTCGAACTTTGTGTCAAGACCAAATAATACCAATTCATTTCTGTCCCAGGTTTGGGCCTGGCCTTGAACCTGCAGCCGTCCTTGACAATCGTAGGGTCCTACTTCCTGGTCAAAAGGCCGCTGGCCAACGGGCTGGCCATGACAGGAAGTCCGGTCGTTCTGTTCACTCTGGCTCCTCTGAATCAGTTTCTGTTTGACTCTTTTGGCTGGAGAGGGAGCTTTCTCATCCTGGGAGCCATCGTTATGAACTGCTGCGTGGCCGGAGCTCTGATGAGACCTGTCAACAAGAACATCAAACCCATACCAAAGACTGCACCACCGAACGGCGAGGTCTCTGAGGAAAAGCAGGACGAGACCAAGAGCGAGGGCTGTTTGAAAAGATTCGTCGACGTGTCACTCTTCCGACACCGAGGGTTCCTCATTTACCTCATCGGAAACTGCGTCATGTTTTTCGGCCTTTTCGCACCTGTGGTATTCCTGGCACCCTACGCCCGGCACCAGGGGATTGATGAATATTCCTCAGCTTTACTGCTCTCCATTTTTGCTGTGGTGGATATGTTTGTCAGACCATCAACCGGCTTCCTCGGGAACACCAAGTGGATCCGGCCGAAGATCCAGTACTTCTTCAGCTTCGCCGTGTTGTTCAACGGCGTCTGTCACCTCCTGTGCCCTCTGGCCCAGGGCCACGCAGGCCTGATTGTTTATACAGTGTTTTTTGGTATCGCTTTTGGGATGCTTTGTGCTCTTCTCTTTGAAACTCTGATGGACCTCATCGGAGCGCAGCGTTTCTCCACCGCAGTCGGACTCGTCACCATCATCGAGTGCGGACCGGTTCTTCTCGGACCTCCGATCTGCGGTTGGTAAATCGACACCACGTGTCGGTAAATTTGAAAAAAAAACAAAAAAATCACCGTGATTTAATTGTGACTTGTTGTGTCTTCCAGGAGCCCTGGTGGACTCCCTCGGCGACTACAAGTACTTGTTCTATATGTGCGGTATCATCCTGGTAGGTTGTGGTCTGTTCTTCTTCATCATGCACTACTACAACTACAAGAAACTGGAGGAGGAGAAGGACAAGAGCGCCTCTGTGGAAACCAGGACCCCTGAGGAGGAGGAGGTGGAACTCAAACCGAGCCCAGGTGACAAAGTAGCGTATGAAGCTGATGGATGAATAAAACAGCATTCATAAAATTTAAGCTAAACTTTTTTTTTTCTTTATCTCTTAATGAGATTTTTTTTTTACTCATTTGACCTCAACTATATATCCGTAGTAGTTCTTGTTTGTACAATTTTATTTTTCAGTGTTAGAAGACTATTGTAGATCATAAATACTCGCGTGTGTCTCACTCCAGTTATTAGAATGGCTTAATGAACTAATGAGTTACATTTCTGTTAATTTAACTGGCCAGAGATATCATTAAAACAGTTTATTACATTTGACCACTAGATGGCACTGGTTACCACCATGTGAGAACTGTTCAAAGAGCAACAAGTCCATTTTTATATAGCAGCACTGCAGCTGTGGCCATCGTCAATGAAATGATATCATCAAAATAATAAACATTCCCACAGTTCACCTCATACTTTCAACATATTTATACCTGACTATATACATTACAATATCTACTAACAACTAACTCAGTCAAATACATTTGTATTATTAAATGACTCAGTATTACATGTTCGATCGCTGCTGTCAGAATTTTAAAAATCATCACCATACATCAACTGCATCCTCTGCCGTGGATCAAGGGTCAAACGGGGGTTAAAGGTCATGAGGGAAACCTAGACGACACAGGGAAACAGGAGTCGATGATGCCGGCGGGTTTCCAGGATGTTTTGCAGTTTAACGTGCGTGGATGTATGGATAAACAGATGAGTGAAATGTATTTGTACATAAATGTTGTATTCCCAAAAAACATGGAGGGAACACATTTCAGTCACGTTTTTTATTTGTCTTATTGATTTATTGTCTGATTAATATTTTGTCCCAATCTTTTCTGAGCCCCCCCACCCCACCCCCATTTATTTGTCTTATTGATTGATTGTCTGATTAATATTTTGTCCCAAACTTTTCTGAGCCCCCGTCCCCCCCCACCATTGGTAGATAGGGATAGGCCTATGTTTGTTGTCGAAACCTTCCTAAAACAACCAATCTGTGTCAATTCCCAAAGCAACAGCGCCCCCTCACACTCCAACCCCAACCCCCGCCCTGCCTCTATAATTGTGCCTTTTACATTGGGAACCACTGACTTCAACTGACTGACTTTGTGACATACTGTATGTGGGACGTCTGCAGAGACAGGTTCGAGGTGAGATCTCGTTCCAGGGTCACATTATTTCACCAAAGGTCAAACTTTATTTTTTTAGATGACAGCGCCTCGGTCCCAGGCCTTTAGCAGCTGACATAAAACCTCAGTTAATGCATTCGTCTGAATGTTGTTTTGTCACAAACACAGGTTTGAATGATTTGTCCTTATCACGTCTCTGCCAGCCGTGCATCGAGTCCCTGTTTCAGATGGAGGAGAATTGCTTATGCAGGAAATCAATAGATCATTTATAATCGTCAGAGATGTGAAGATGTGATAAGTCCTATAAGGTTTATAGGTTGGTGGACTCCTGGGTTAATCCTGGTTGAACTTTAGTGAAAAATTTAACCGAGTAACATTTCATCAGACACCGACGTGACACCGTGGTGAAGTCACGGTGTTTTGTTTTTTACAGGAAGATCATTTCTGAGGCTCATTATCTTTAACTACATTGTTTGTTAAATTTAGGAAATATAGGTCTGTTCAGGGGGTGGGGGGTTAGGGGGCGCTGCAGTGAAAGTTTGGGAACTACTGTAACCTGAGGTTGATGTGGAACTAATTCTTGACTATTGTGTAGATGAGTGATGCTTAGAACTGTTTATTTCTTGCTAAATGAGATGTGGTGTGTATTCATCTAGGACACGATAATAAAAACTGCTTCATGTGAAAAAAAAAATTCATGTAAACTCCTGTAATTTGCGCAAAAATATGGATATATATCTATATCTATCATTCAGACAACACAGTGGATAAAGGGGTTAGAGCCTTTGCCTTACAGCAAGATATGATCATTTTCTGTGTTAATCATATATTCATACATATATTTATTAATAAAATGCTGTGGTATTTATTTTACTATAATTGGTTGTTGTCAGTAGATTACATTATTAGTAGTGATGAAATAAATTGTTAACTCAGAAAAAAAAAATCCACGCCTCACTGCGATGATGACACGTTGACTTGCCCAGCCCGACTTGAAACCAAAATTTTGTCTTACAGAATCCCCCAGGTTTGATGGATTCCTTATTCCGAATCAAATTTTAAACGACAGGTAACGCGGAGTGTGTTGCGCTAAAAGAGACAGACTAATGAGTGGACACTGAGTGAGAGACGCAGGACTTTCAATCAGCAGCCAATCCCAGAAGCTCTATCATCTCCACAGTGAACAGCTTGTGCATAATCACTGTGATGAACTGTGACTGATGTCAGTAAATCTGACTTTAATTGGGAGCAGGAAGATTGAATCCTCGCTGCTCTCTGTCCAACTCCTGCTCAGACTGCAGTCATGCTGAGATGTGATGTTTAAACCATGCTGCCGGTCGGAGCGGCTGCATCTGCCATTCCGTTTCAACCACCAGCTTTGGACGTCTGCGGGAGAGAAGCGAGGATGTGAAGCTGTCTGTCTAAACTGGCGTGTTTGTTAATAATCTCTGGTAATCTTCTTTAGCCACAGCAGCAGAACTAATCTGTCTTCACAGCTTTTTTATCCACTCACACTGAGTGAGACACAGACAGAGGGTTGGTGTCATGTGAGAACCGGAGAATAAAAGTTGCCTTCATCCGCCCTGTGGACGTGGAGTATTAATGACAAATCCCACAGCCTAAACAAACAGTGATGGCTAACGCGGCTAACAGCTGACACGTTCTAACAGACAGAGGAGCGATTGCCGCGTCAGTCTATCAAGGACTCGGTCGCACCTTCTGGAGACAGGATATGAACCTGATGAATCACAAGACTTCCTCAGATCACATGCTGAACACAGGACACAGAGAAGCCCCGCTCCTCAGATCAATAACCTTCATAAACAGCTGCCACAACATTGATCACGGTCCCCTCGGTATTTATGGAGAGTAAAACCATCGATGTTGCAAAGATATTTTTAAAATCAGATTTCCATCAACGGCATTCAACATCTGAATGTTCTAGATTTAGTTCCACTCTGAAACCCCCGGAGGGCAATCTGAGAAGAAGAGATGAAAGATGGTATCGAACAGAACACTCAGAGAGCTTATTATTAATGTTCATCCTGCTGGCACAGTTGTCGATAGAACATTATGAATAAGACATACGGTTTCTGTGGACAAGTGTACTCAGAAGAAGAAGAAGAAGGAGCTCCAAAAGAACCTGGATGTTTGTCCGTAGACTAACACTGACCGTTGCCAATGACAACACACTTCCACTCCTTTGATTGTTGACATATCACAGCTCATGTTCCTGCTTAGCGTTGAGCTAAATTAGTAGCCATTGCTAGCTTTTGGGTTGAACGGTATAGTAGTCACGCACGAGTAAAGAAAAAGCGCAGATCCTTGTGTAAATGATTTTAGTAGTCACAAACGAGTAAAGAAAAAGCGCAGATCCTTGCAGGAGCGACCCGGCAACAAAACACGGTTGTCGTAACTGAAACTCAAGGTTAGGCAAGAAGCTGTCGTCAACCTGGAAATAAACTCTGAACTCGTAGAACTGTTTTAATCCCTTGGGCGTTCCGTTCGGGAAATTAAGGCTCATTCCCATGCCAAAAGTATGGCAAGAGTACGACGCACCGAGTACAACGCTACCAACGTGCAGGAGGCACGCTGAGAAACACTCGCTTCTCTCAAAAATTAAATAAAATCAAACTGAGAAGGCAACAAACAGAAGCTAACCGCAGAGGCTGGGTGTCACATCTGCTGCCCTTGTTAAAGAATGTCAGTAAAAAGCTTGTCAAAGTCTCAGCAGAAACCACACTGTGATGCACAGACAGTTTGATATCAAAGAGTCTTGACCACAGAAGCTGCGCCGCTGTCGGACATCAGGCGTCCGCACTGAATACAAATGGGATGAAACAAAGCCGTTGGTTTTGAACTCCAACAACGGAGGATGTTAAACTGCTAAACTACTCAATCATGACTAATGCCTTTAAAAGAAATTGCCTTGCAAAAGAAAAGAACTTAATGAGATTATTTTCAGTTACAATTAACAACGTCGTAGTTACATTTCTCAAAACAGGGGGCAGTGTGGCGCCTTTTGTCCCCCGGTGGGGCCTAAGAATGCTCGGATTATCTTCCTAACACATGCACAGTACTTTCCGGAGCTGACTGTGCAGAGCCGTGTCCTGTTTCCTTAATCTGGTAGTCCAAGACATTAAGCTGACACTCTGATCTGAGACACAGCCCTCTCTCAACCATTGTTCTTGTTTATCTGGCTAATGCAGACCAAACTACTGAGCATGTATTTCCGGGGACGTTGTTACTGCTCGAGTGTTACATGGACAACACAAGGATTGTTTTACGGATTATAATCTATTTGAAGTGATGCGCTAATTTACAACGCCGTATAAAGACGTATTTTGCTCAAATGCTCCAAAAAGGTTCGGTTGAATGTCACCATCGAGTCTGCATTATCATCCGTGGCGAGTGGATGAGGAGGGTGAAAAAAAACCCAACAAGCAGCCGGCTGCGTTATCAGTCTGTCTGGGCAGCACACTTGAGTGGCCAATTCGACCCAAGAGATAACATTGCGAGATTCCATTTAAATCTTCAGTCATCATTTGGAAAATTGTATTGAATCTCAGATGGTTCCCCTCTTCCCATTTGCAGAATAGATAGGCATTCCAGGCCCGTGTCCTCTGGGATCAACACCCAGGTCTATGGGCTGAGGCTGAGAGCACGTCTGACAGACTGGGCATGAAAAAGGACGAGAAGCAGAAATAATTATAAGAGCAAGTGAGGCGTATCAGCTTGTCCTTGGCTCAAAATGAAAAGAAGGATATGACATGATGGCACAAATCAACTGCAGGTCCACGTACGACACAACACCTCATTCACTCATTACACGTGTGTAATTACACGTCAGTAAGCGTGTAATGCCGGGATTATCTTCCTAGACTGCACATTTAATCTTGTGTTTTCATTCTTGGATGGTGAGATGTTTGAAAAATACCCAGTGATCTCTGGTGATGTAGATTTGTCTTGTAGGGACACATGATGAAGACGGGAGCGGCCGACGGGGGCTCCACTGTCTCAGAGGTTCTTTTGGTTCCAAGGACAGTTTCTCCGGAGTCTGTGGCCAACGTGATGAGTGTGTTGACTGTCACAGCTGCCTCCCTGCGTCTGCCAAAGGTGTGTGATTAAATCCGTATTCTTTGCCTGAAGAGAATTGGAGCCATTCATGAAGCCATAAACCATATGGACAAGTGAATGAGTTCTCCTTAAAGTTGATCGTAGCGGTTTACTAAGAAGGAGCGGGACGGTAAAAGTTGAACGCCTCTGTGTGCAGCAAAAATAAGGCCAGGTTTGAGAAACACAGAGGAAAAGTCATTTCAAGCTAAATATTTTACCCCCATAATTTTTTTAGTTTTAGTTACGGATTGCTTGATGGAACTATTTCATACCCGATACCGATACGACACTGCAACTTGGAGCTTGCAGTTTAAATTTCAGATTACTCGATACAATTATTTCATACCTGATACCGATACGACACTGCAACTTGGAGTAGCTGCTGATGCCGATATCAATCAATTCCTTCTTTCACCTGCAGCGTTCTGTGCTGCCGTTGCCGAGGCGATAGTATCCTTGTTTACGGCACAAGTTAAGTTGACGATAAGTGAAGTCATATTGGATCGAACCATCTCTAGTTGTTGCGTATAAAAATGCATTTGATGATTAAAAATTGTACTTTGCCCAGAAGTACTTTCAAAGCTACATGGTACTTTGTTTTTCTAAAAAAAAAAAAAAAATTACAAAAACTAACTGAAGGGCTTGAAAGTCATTCACATTCAGCAGCTGTTCCCATCCTTGGCATTTATTCAGTTATTTTCTAACTCACTTGGGAAATTCACAGTATTTTCTCCTTCAGATGTTGAAAGGTCTAAATCCTGTGAATGGAAATACAGTGATTTTTAAAATGAAATACAATTGTGGTTTTGAAGTGCAGCTAAACTGTTTAGACACTGCCATAGACACGCAGTATAAACATATATATATATGTGTATATATATATATATCCACACAGTGTGCCCATTCTCAGCAGCTACAGTCCACCTGAACGTTCCAGATTTAGATTTGTAGTATTATTTTCCAGGTTAAATAGTAGAAGGTTGAATATCATTGGTTGGCAGCAGATGGCCGACCACGTGGCACATTGACAGCGACAACAGCTGAGGCTCCTAATGGACAATTTAGCTGTCAATCACATGCACGGGTCAGCTATATTCAGCTTCCACCTCTGTGACTGACTGACGGGGTTGAAACCCCGACCATTTTCAGCCACAGACTCTGGTTGTGACAAATCTTTTCTTTCTCCGTTTTAAACCCATTCTTGACTTGAACCCTTGAGCAAGTGAACCTCAACAACCTCCTGGACCGATTCATTTGAAAATTGTTTTTTTTTAAATGAATAATTACTACTGAAAACACTAAAACATATGTGTCAAACCCGAGGTCTGCGGGCCAAATGTGGCCCGCCATGAGGTCTGTGGGCCAAATGTGGCCCGCCTAGTAATCGTGTGTGGCCTTAAAGTCCATGCTGCTGAGTTTCTCAACATGAGTTTTTTTTAATTACACATTATCTTTGTACAATATTTGTATCTTGAATAATTAACAATTAAATACAGAAAGTATTAATACGTTATGGAGTAGTTACATTTAGAGTCTCATTATTGCTTATGTGGCTGGAAATGAGTTTGACACTCCTGATCCTGAAGTGTTTTCCTGGTCCTCTTGATGACGTTGTGTGTGTTTGATTGAAGTACAGTTCACCACGTCTCTGTCTGATACTATTCGCTTCGTTATTTGTAGTGAAAAGCTCAGAGAAAGGTGTTCCACATGTTTGTGAAGAACAACGGAGAACTTTCTGTTCTCCCCCGGCCCCGGTGTATGTTAATCCACCATCGGAGAGTCGTTCCACACACTGCTCTTATTATCATTTTTCACAGCTGTTCTAATGGCGCTGTTCTCCCGTGGTAGTATATAATACCTGCAGTACTGTACAGTACCAGTCTTTGGAGTGTTGTAGTACAGTATCTGTAGGAGTATCAGGTGGTTTCTGGTTTTCTTAAATAACTGTTTGCAAAATAAATCTGGCAACACACACACACATATATTACTGCAGTGTACGTGTACGTATGTACTGAGGATGTAGGATATTTCCTTTGTCTTCATCAGACTCTTGCGGTCTACGTATTTTTGGACTAAATTTCAGCAGCTAAGGAGTTCCTCTGAAAACAGAACTGTCTGTTGATTTAAGGGGAAAAAAAACGTAACACCAGCGCCTCGGCTTTTCAGACAGTTGAGATAAAAGTCTGACTTCAGGGACAGGACCTTTTCTGTCTTCTTTGTAAACGGTCTTATCATCTGCAAACGGTAGGAATCATAATTATTTAAAGCAGAGAAATAAAGGAACATGAACTCATTCAAACGTTTATCTGCGTCTGGGTTCAACACTGTAGGAAAAACGACTGTGTAGAGTATTGTTTCCCAAAGACTGGGTCGCGACCCTCAGGTGGGTCACAAGAGATATTTGTTTGGGTCGTCTCGCATCACGTTTCCCAGGAGCGGGATATTACGAATAATATCTATTGACTTGGGTCGCAAAGATTTGTGACTTTTAAAATTGCCAAATCGATATATACAGACTACTGCATAATGATGCAGTAGTGATGGTATGCAAAAACTGTTGTATAGTACTGTGTAGTGTATGGTATGGCATTGGTAGTGTAGTATCATTTGGTGAGGTATACTGTAGAAGTATCAGTATAGTACAATATAGTATTGTATAGTAAATGCAAGATTCTATAGTATAGTACTCTATAGTAGTATAATATATTGTACTACAGAACAGTAGATTTAAGTTTAGTATAGTGTAGTAATACTATAGTACAGTGCAGTATAGTATAGCACACTGTAGTTGAATAGAGTATAATATAGTAGTACAGTTTAGTGAAAGGCCAGTATTAATACATACTGCCCTGTATATTTGTATATATAAAAACTACTGTATCTAGTACAGGTATAGAATACCGTAGTGTCATAAAGTACAGGGCACTGCAGTAGAACATCATACACAGTAGTATCGTATACAGTACAGCGCAGCCTCGTGAATTATCAGTACATTAATTCCCTGTGTTTTTCGATGTTTCTTTTTGTAAATATAAAACTCTCGTCTGCAGCTTCAGTGGTTTTGAGGCGCTCACAGCAGCAAACAGAAAAATCAACATTTACACAGAAAGAATCCAAATTAACCTGATCAGCAGTGAGTGAAGAACACGGTGGCGAGAACAGAGAGAACGGCAGCGCGGTGCGTGGAGCAGCCTTCAGCTCTCAGCGGTGTAAATGGGATGATTGCTGCTGGTCTGAAGGGTCCTTCACTGAGCCAAGTATCTGAGGACAGGCAGACAGGCAGACAGACAAAAGACACGTGGGCGACTCCAAATAAAGCAGCATTGATGAACCCATTAGAACAAAACACACAGTCACCGCCGCATTCCAGCGTCTACACTGACTCTGAGTGTGTCCACGGATCTGTGGACGGACGGACGGACAGTTCACCTGTGAAATGACGAAAGCTTTGCCGGGATTTGCTTCTTTTTTTCTCCTTGAGCTTCTGGTTTGACAGCTGTGCTGTTCATGGAGAGTTGAAGGACAGGATCAGAGCACAGAACATCCTTTGTTGCAACAGGCTGTTTTCATTATCCCTGTTAAAAACGATGATGTCATATCGTAACTGTATCACCGAGGAGCTGCTACATACAGAGCTGATGGAGATTCTCTATCAGTACACATTAGCTAAAGCTGACTGAAGTACACTACAGATATATACAGCACATACAGTATATTTGTGTCATGTGAGGCGGCGGTCCCCAACCTTTTATGGTACCAAGGACCGGTCGGCCGGTATCAGCCATTACTGCGATCATTACATTTTCAAACTAAAACTTCTTTTAGAAGTTTTATTCTGTTAGTATCAGAGTCTGAATGACCTTTGACCTGTTGTTTTGAAACATTAGTAAAGGGATATGACTGGATCCTTTTTGACTGAAGCAAATGAGTAAAACTGAAGTACATTTTTTTGTTTTTACTGCGGTCCGGTACCAAATGATCTACGGACCGGCACCGGTCCCCGGACCGGGGTTTGAGAACCCGTGATGTAAGAAATTCTACATATGATAATTGCATAAAACTGCACTTATTGACTAATTACCTACTGATGGTAGGCCCTGAACTGCTCTTTAGATCTTCCAGATCTTTAGTCGTCTTATTTGCATCTACTGTAAAATTTCGTGTCACTTCTCGAAATATTTATTTGTGGCATTTGCTTTTAATTTTAATTTTCTCCCCTAAAAGTCATTAACGTAGTCTTTGAAGTGGAGCAGGCGGAGTTACCTTATGTATGAAATGAGCTGCACAGATGACCCGTCACCACTTTATTAATGTCCCTCAGCTTCTTGTCTTCACACCCTTCCCCTGCCTCCAGCCGTCCTCTCTGTCCTCCCCCGGAACCTAAATGTCAACGGCGTATAAAAGACTCCAGAGTTACATGTGATGATCAGTTTGATTTTTCTCATTTTCTTTTGTCTGTCAAACTTGACCCTGGAGCGATCGTCTTGTCGTGTTTAGCCACCGTGGTGGAGGAGGCGCCCTCTGTTGATACTGTACCTCATGTTGTCATAAGTTTCCTTTAACAAGTCCTCGTAAAACAGCGCTGTAAACCACAGTCGACGGCACAACGCGGGCTCAATCTCCGGCCTTACACTGTACACGTTGTGTTCAGGAGCGCTGAGTTATGGCAGTGGCACACAATGGATGATGGGACCATAGACTTATCAATAATGCATAAGGTGGTAAGAGAAATGACAGGCTCTCCGCTGGTAGGTTCCCCACAGAAGCAGGCCATAAATTCGCAGGGCAATAATAATGACTCTTCTCAGGGAAATAAAGGCCACCCTCTGCTCCCCATAGTCATAAACCTGGCTCACTCTTCCATTGGAAGAAAAATGCTTCCCCCTCTCACCACACAGGAGTCGTACACAGTAGGTACTTCAAGCATCCGACTTGATATGCAATCATCTCTTTACAGAGGAAAGAAGACATTTTCAGTTTTATGTTTTACGATATTTGCCCATAAAGTCTGCCGAGGTTGGGGGAAGGGGACGGTTAGCGTTAGCATGTTGAAAAATATAACAAGAATATAACTAGTAGAGTTCTCACCTCTTTGACCATCCTTAGATCTCTGTCGTGGTTTATGAATTTAAAAACTTTAATTTTTTTTCATTCTTTACCCCACAGTTTGCAAAGCAGTATTTTAGCAAAACTTTAATTTTTTTAAATTTTTTACCCCACAGTTTGCAAAGCAGCAATTAAAACATTCTTATCTTCAACAAAGCCTCAATAGAACGGCTGGAATATTTTATTTGTCCTAACAAGATTACACACAAAACAGTTCCATGAGCACGGCTACAGGAACCGCTAATATTTTAGGTAGAATATCATACTTATTATTTTTTTCATAAATCTACAAAATACATTTTAATTAAAAAAAAACCCCGGGTCTTCAACAGTTGTTCTCGGGACCCCTAGGGGAACTAGGTAGTACTACAGGGTGTGGAAAACTTAAATTCAACACATTTTCCCATAATTAATAACTTAATTTTTACTATTAACTCTGGTCTGTTATAAAAACTAATGATTTTTTAACATTTTTACTTTAACTTTGGAGATAATTTAACAAAGCAGGAAATGGAAACAGAGGAAATTTGTATTTGCATTTCAGCAAAACATACTTTTTTGTTTATGTTGAGTTGCAGTACAAACCTTCATCTGTAAGGAAAGATTTTTTTTTTGAAAAACACTCCAAACAGTTTCTCCCAGGCCCAGAATATAACATTTACAGTCATTATTGTTGCCCCTTACCCCCCCCCCCCAACAACTGTTATTTTTCATGGAAAAAGAAAAAAACTGTTATAGGTCTCAGTGGGACATCAGCCAAGTTTCTGAATATTTTATTAAACAAAGTATCTGTAAATAAAATTTCTATTAAGGCTCAGATATTTTTTTATTCAGTCAGAATGGAAAAACAAAAGAATCAAAATAAAAAACATGATAAAAGGAAGATATTTTGAGTCATAAGTCGAGTAAATCTGAGACTTTTACGGCTCTCATGAGTTGGCCACGAGGTGAAACTGAACCTCCATCGATTCTGTTGATCCATTGATCACAGAGAAGATCCCTCTGTGTGCAGACAGAAAACACAGCGCTGGGTGTTTTTAAATAGAAATGGAGGCAGCAGTGTTTCCAAACCGATCTGTTTCAGGTAATCCAAAACCCAGTTTTGGCAGAGGTTACCAGAGTAGATGCAACTGCAGGTTAAGAAGAGGAAAATGTAGCACACATTAATAAGGCACAGAAAACGCAGTGACTGTGTGCAGGTGGACTGGAATGTAGGGCAACAAGACAAAAACCAGGGACTGTAGGTGTGCACCGGGGTTGGTACGCAGGCAATCAGTCAGAGGAGGAAGAGATTCGAATGAAAAAGAGAAGGAAACAAGGGCAAAAAAAAAAAAAAAAAAAATGCTGTGGAACCAGGGTAATTCTGCAGAGAGGGATGGCCAACTTTTTTGGCTCATTAGACATTATATTTGTATTTTTTAAATAAAATAATAAATGACAGCGAATAAGTGTGTAAGCGTATGTGTTTATACATACTGGGGCTGTGAAATTATTACAAGTTTTATTCAAATGAATCACTGGGGTGGAAATTAAAAGATTAATCATGATTAATCGTGATTCATCCTGATCAATCAGGACAAAAGTTTATTTTGATTAATCCAAATGATTCAAATCTGACAAATGTTCCTGACTCTACTCAACTTTTTTTTTTCTTCCAGGTCACGGGGGTTAACGGTCCCAGCGAAGAAGTCCAGATGCTTGTTTTCCCTCCAGCAGCTCTAACCATTTCTTCTGGAAGAATCCCTGAGAGTTCCCAGACCAGCTGGGAGATATAATCACTGCAGTGCATCCTGGGTCTGCCCTGGGGTCTCTTCCTAGGTAGACTCTCCTGGAACATCGCCCGAAGGAGACATCATCTAACCAGGTGCTGTACCACCTCAGCTGCATCCTCTCTTGTACGGTTAGGGCACAGAATCTCCGTAAAGCTGTTCACTGAAGCTCGGCCGCTTCTCTACAGGATCTAGTTCATTTGGTCATGTGACCGACAGTATTTTGATCAGAGGATAGGAACATAGAAGGACAGGTGAAGGCCAACATGACAATGACATACTAAAAACTGCCACTCGGGGCAGTATTTCCTCTCTGACCCAGAGTTCGTTTTCATTTGTTTTTTCAACTAAAAACCATTGACTTGGAGGTTTCAATAATCAGCCCGGTCCTGACCCATTCACACTGGGTTACGAACAGATCCGACCCAAACTGAACAACAGTCGACCGCGATGTAGCCGCTGGAAGAACATTTGACGTTGGATGTTCTAAGGCTGCTGTGTATTGTTCTCAGGGATAACGGGGGGATGGGGGGGGTGGTTTGTGTCCTGGTCTCTGAACAGGGGGAGGGGGATGGTTTGTGTCCTGGTCTCTGAATCAGTCATACAGCGAGCAGCAGCAGCACAGCAGGAAGTCGGCAGCTTACATAAGGTCGAGCAGTGAAGTGCTGATCACCTGCAGGTCTGGGCTGGTCCAGAAACCAAATACGGCAAATACTGGAGCATCTTCTCCCCCAGGACTACAGCAGCTCACTCATCAAACTCCTGGTTGATGGCTCACCAATCAATAGCACACATACTGTATGCTCATTTTTCTAATATGCGGACAAAAATACACCGTGTATTTCCAGAGCGCGGTCGTTCTGTGCCTCACCTCGGGCCGTCGGTCGTGCGCTGTGTTCCGTTCGCCTCAGCAGTTGCAACTGGTCACAGAGAATCCCATCTGTTCAATAAGAACTTCAGATGTGCTCCAGATGTTACAGTCAGGACAAATATGGACGCCACCAGGACGGCCGTGTTTGATAAGGCTAGGTCAAGTAGAAAAGACACCGTCAAACAACCGATACACATGTTGTTATTTACACACACTGCTGGGAGACGTTTTCGTTTCACCAAAACACCTCAAGTTTTAAATCCCATCATCACACATTAACATTTCAATCATTTTGATAAAAAAATAAATAAAACAGACATCTACCTGCTGTTATTTATCTTTCTGTTCTGGTGACATATACAAAACATATACAAAAATATATGTTTTTGTCATATATAACAATGTTGATTTATTCTGAAAAATAATGCTCATAATTAGTCATGATTGATCTACAGCTATCTTTTCATTAATCTGATAATAGGTATTTGATTGACAGCCGATATAGACATATAAATATATACACATATGTAAATATGTGTATATATATACTTTATATATGTGATGTGTGTGTTTATATATTTATATACATATATGTGTGTGTTTATATATGTATATATGTATTTGTATATTTATATACTGACAATTAACACACATTATTGTATTTTTAATATTGTTCTTTAGGTCCGTTTCTCACTGACTCTGAATTCACTTCCACGTCGTCCACGCCTCGACCAATGAGATCGTTTGGAACATTCACCAGAACGTCACAAGGTACTGAACTCTTTGAACTTCTATGTCGTTCTAATAACTCCGTGGTGGAGAACAAGGTGTAACCACTGAAAGGTGACAGAAAATCACCTGCAGAAGTACATCATTTGAAGTGATATGTACTGTAGTTGAACCTCGGTAAACTTTTTATATCAAAGTACACAGTACAACTCTATACTTGAGTTTGTTTTGGCATTTCCACATAACAATACTGCCACTACTACTACTACTGTACTTCAGTACTGCAAACAGGGACTGAGGGATCAGGCTGGTGATCAGAGGATTTTGGTTCAAATCCCAGCCTCGGCACGTACCAAAAACCAACCCTGCCCCACGGGTACGTTACCACTGCTCCTGTGCGTCAGGTGTTTATTACTGGGCTGTTTCACAGATGGGGTAAAATACAGGGGGTTATTTCCCCCGCAGTACTACTGGGAAAAACCCGACATTAATCATCCAGCGGTGTGTACAGTATTTCACGGCTTGTCGTCATTTCTGCATTAATTTCAGAAAAGCTGATCGTGGTCCCAAACAGACAAACGGCTCAAATAACGTCTGTCACGACGGCCGTTCTTTCTAAGATTAATTGTGTTATTTTCAGTTCAGGAAGAGAGGTACTGTTCAACAATAGGCACATAAAAGTACCAACATTGTAGGTCATGTTGTTTAACAGTGACGACCGGTGAAATTACAGGAGAGGATGAAAAAAAAAGCAAAGAAAAAAAAAGTAAATCAGTGGAAAGTGCATTTATTATCTGCAGAAAAGTGTATTTATGTTCATTTTTAGGTATCTGCAGGTGTTGGTACCGTATCAAGTCAGCACTGGCCCAGAACAAATGCTCTGGGATGGAGAGTGCCAGAGTAACAGTCGACATAATCAGTTCTAGAGAGCTCTTTAGAGCACAAACAGCAGGTATCAAACAGTTTAAGGTCCATTTGTTTTGCTGAGTGTTTTCCATTTAAGGTTGAACGAGACGCTCCGACCTGGTCACGGAGGTGAGACGGAGATTTCGGTTAAATCTCCCCCGAGATAGAAAAGGATGAGCGGACTCTTTGACATTTTTCCATCTCATCTCTGCCTCAATGTTTGAATTATTTGCCTTAAAAAAAAAAAAAAAAAAAAGGGTGAGTTTTTCTTCCCTTCCTGGCAGAAATGAAATAAATCAAAATTCACCGAGACACAAAGGCAGACGCCTCTCCTTTTGGAGTACAATGTAGTATTTGCTGTTGTGATACATAACATATGGCGGTTACAGCGACATGACCAGATGATTATGTTCACGCCATTCAGCCGCCATTGTAAACATTTGAAGGGCGAACGCGGCTTCATCTCGGCAGATGAATGCGCCCGTCAGGGGACTGGCAAGTTCAATTATGTGAACTGTCAGCGTTTTTGCATTGTCATGCGATGTGATGGAGGCAGCGCCACTTGAATGCGACCCGTCAACCTTATTTAACGTGAGGGGAACACAACAAAAGCAACAGGAACCGGCGACGAGCGTGTGACTCTGTGGCGCAGGAATCGTCCGTCCTGACAGATTCATTCCTTCATTAAAGAACGTTCCAACGAACCGTTTTGACGTCCTCGTATCTGATCCCGCGGTCAGCGCGGGAAAATGCACGGGCTTTACATTTAATCTCAATTATTAACGCAGCGCCATGTGCTTAACCCAGATAACTGCTGACTGGTGGGGATATTTTGAGACGCAGTGATAAAAAAAAACAACTGCCTTTGTATTAGTGTTTTTCTTGACTTGAGAAAGAGAGAGAGAGAGAGAGAGAGAGAGAGAGCAGTTTTTACAGTAGCAGGTCTCAGGAGGCAGTTACTGGAATGAAACGGTGAAGCCTGGAGCCAGAAGGCAACAGCATCTGCTCTCTCTGGAGACTGCCATCAGCAATTTTGGCCTAAAAGAATGACTACTTATGATGAAATGTCTATGTCCCCGGCTCTGTCCCACCCTGCCGTTGCCCAACACTGCATTACATGGCTTTTTTTGTTTTGTTTTTTTTTTTAATTTGAAAATTTCATAATGTGCACGCAATGACATTTGACTCGATGGCGGGATCAAACAGCGCGGCTCTCAGTAAATGTCAAAAGACGCCAGGAAACAACGGAAGACACATTTGCATTTTCAATTTTAAACGTAAGCTTTGAACAATAACAGAGCCAGACCTGCTCTGCTGCTGCAAAGGTTCTTCACCTGAGAATTTCTTTTTTTTTTTTTTAATATCACTCACCATCCCCCAGGTGTGTCTGGGAAGTTAACAGGTTGCCTGACTTGATAAAAAAAACAAAACAACTTTATTCTTATCCACAACTTAGATCAAATGAGAAGATTAATATCCTTTAAAAGAAACTATTAAACGCTGAGATCAGGCGATGTAAAAGGTGAGACTTTCAATTTCCATTAAACATGAGGGGCTCAGCCAATTGAAAAAACATTCCACTCAAGAGTCGGTTTATTTTAATAGTAGTTTGCGCCGATTCGTCCCACAAAGACATTTATTCCCTTCCGAATAAGATTCAAAGGCCAGATTCTCAGGGTAGCTTCTATAAACATAATCTTATTTCGTACTTGGCTGAACTTGAGAGTCGGCTCATGCAGATAAAGTAGACACCGAACGTTTCCCATTGACCTTTCTGGAAAGGAGCAGCAAATGCCTGAGAAAACAAAAACACTCAATGAAAATGCTAATGAATCCCTGAAGAGGCATCGCTCACCATCCCGTCCTCACTCATTTACTGCCAGTGATTTATTGATTTCACAGATGAAAATTCTGACTTGTTAGCCAACTGTGAGATAAAAATCTCCCCTCACAGGAATCTTTCGTAGCTGCTCAGGCCCCGCCCCCTTTTTTGTTGCACGTCAAAGCGCTGTCACCAGTGTGTAAATGTGAAGCCGGTACGGATCGTCTTGATGTGATAGGAGAAAAGCCTCCAGAAAGGTATGACTTTTATCACAAAAAAAAAAAAAAAAAGGTTTCTGTTGCGTGTCAGGATCCACAGAGTGACACGTTCTCTGTATCTGATGGAAAATCAGCCTCCTGGGCTCGGTGGCGTTGTAATCAGCTGTAATATCGTTTTTAAATGTCACACTTAAACCTTTCCTGATTCCTGTTTTGACAAGAGCAGGCGCAGCTGAGGGCCAAGCCGAACGGGTAACTCTGCCGCACTTCTTCGTGAGACGCGCCGTCCTCCCATGCTGAACAAAACACAACGATTTATTGACATTTTCATTTTGCTTAGCCACCCGCGGCACAGGAAGCAACCAACACGCTGGCTTGTAGGAATGCCATTTCTGAAAGTGAATTTGACATGGAAGCAGACAGGCGTTAAGAGCAAACACACGCGGCTGCCAATATTTCTTGACTACATCTTGGTAAGTTGTCTTCTTGCCGATGTAGGAAAAATTTGATAAGTCTGGATAATTACCTTTAACCCCTTCACCGTGTGTGTTCTCTAAGGCTGGGGCTTTAATGGGTCGGTTTGGTGAATTAATACAGGCAGAAATGAAGTGGCCTGGTTTTATCTTAACCTGTTTCCTATCAGCTGATTTTATGATCATCTCTTATCTCAACGTATCCAGCGTTAATGTTTATAGTTTTCCCGAGGTGCTTATTTCGTCCATGATGTGCGTGACTGTAAACGACAAAATCACAATCATGGATGGACTGTGAGTTCCTCATTTCCACACTTTCTCTAATTTCTGGCCCATTAGTGACACTGGTGCACTATCACTAGGTGGCAGTATTCCACGCAAAACCTTGTTGACTAAGATTTACCAGCTGCAAAAAAACGATGAACGGCGTGAGTTGAGTGACCTCAGCGTACAGAATGCTTTGGTACTGAAAAAATAATGTATGGCTCAAAATAGGGTTGAGAACCTCTGCTTTAGACCACCGTCTCATTCTCACAAACAAAACGATTCAGATGAGTCATTTGGAATTAAAAAAATGTCCTTGTGACAACCAGTTTTGACTGGTTCCCGTTCTAGTAGACTGGATCAGCAATACAAAAACAATAAATAGTTTGATCAATAATTAAGGATGTTTTTTTTATGTTTCAGTTAGTCACGGTTAGTCATGACTAATTGTGATTAATCATTCGAAAAGCCCATCATTGATGTCTAAAATGAACCAGTTCCTTCGTTCTAGTAAAAGCAGCCAGAACATCGACCACATCAGTCCATCTCCTCCGCCCACTCTCCTGCATCTCCTGCAGTTCTTGCCACTCCACTGCTCCCGGTTCTCCTCTTCCTGCGGCTTTAGGAAGCCAATAATGTCTCGACCGAGACACTGGCTGTGATGGAATGAGTCCATGAATTTAATTTACTTCTTTATTTGATTAAAAACAAACAAACTAACTAACCAAAAAAAAAAACCGAAACATAACAAAAATGCAGCGTTGTTTTCTGCTGCCTAATCCAACCCCAGTGACAACGGCCAGATAGAGATGAAATGAGCAAAACAGACAATCAAATTAGTTTAAAAACAATTGGAGCTACAGTCTGGACAATCAGACAGCAATTGTCCAGACATAATCATCTTTCGCCTGCAGTGTGGTGAACTCCAGTGCCACGGCCTCTGCAGTCTGAACATGGAGAGTTGGACTTACACTCGGTGTAATTTGGACCTGAAAGCATCGTGTGTCTTTCAGGGACCTCTGTTTTCTCCACTTCATCGTCCTGTTGTTTCTTCGTTTTTGTTTTGTTTTTTCTCTCCTATGGTTTCAGGAGCAGCTCACAGACTTGTTTTTTTATTCTGAGCATCTCCCATAAGATAAACACTGACACGCCTCATACACAACATGACCTCCAGCAGTCACTCCATCTCTGAAACGCTCCACGTATTTAATTGCATTTATTGTCCAACTCTCTCCTCCACTCTCCCTCCAGGTTGTTTGGCTGTGTAGCCAGACAATACCAATGTTGGAATAGTTACATTTTCAATGATGGGACGTGAATAAACAAACACAAAAAAAAAAAAACCAACAACAAAAAAAAAAGAGCTCTCTCTCTCTTCTCGCTCCACTCAGTTTATTTCATCTCTATAAAGCATGGATTCCTCCATGGTTCTAAACAGAGAGTCCTGCAACAGTTCTGGTTCTGTTACACATCACATATTATCATTGAGCTGAAAGTGTGTTTGCCTTAAGGAGCCAACGACATGTTGTCTGTTCCAGTCCCGTCCTCCGACCTTGCTGCAGTCGTGCCGCCCTCACAGCCTCATATTAACTTTAACGGCACAAGGAACTGTTTCTCGGCCGCTCGCAGTTCATTTTCTCGGTGCGACAGCAAAACAGACCATTTATGTTATTGATTTTAACATTATGTGTTTTAAGATGCCCACAGCCCACTGTCTGCTCTACAGCCCCGCGTAAGGCCTGCTGAAATGGATAGCTTAAATAAAGGTCAGTCCTGGCTCTCTGCGTCGATATTGGAAAATATTTAGGGGCAATTATTGACCGCAGCGGGCCTTCTGTGGAAATGATTGCTCAGCATATTTTTTTTTTTTTTGCCTTTTTATGGTTCTTGTGAACCAGTCGTCATCTTCACGGATGACTGGGTAAAAAAAAAAAACCCAAACATTTATCCTCACATTTAAGCAATTAGGAAACAATTATGCAAAAATCTTTACTTTTAAGTGGGGATAATTCTGATATTAACTTTTTGCCGATATTGTCCAAACACGTAATTTCCAATTCGGATATCAACCGATACCGATATAGGTCTGGTAATATTTATTTGTTTATTTGTACAAACCACTGTATGAGTTGCTGCTCTTCGTACCATCCCCTGATTATTAAAAATAGATTAATTAAATGAGCTGCAATGCTGCCATCTAGTGACTTTCACTTTCACATACAGCTGTTTTTCCCTTAAAACTATTTTAGGTCACACATCATTATGCGAAGCCCAGGCTGAGGTTTTCATAATCAGAGGAAAAAAATGATAACAATTTTTACAGCTATGACATAATTATGCTAATATCGGGCTCGATAACATCAGTCGGCCGATGTTATCTGACATTTCTACTTTTAAGAATTTTAAGAATCTGCTACAGAATAACAAATTATTTCATAGCTTTTATAATTAGCACAATATTGACACTTCTGCACTTCCTGTTTCTGAATGGCAGGGACATAAATTTCCCTTTTTCACATTTAGGTTATTTTCAAGGAAACAAACAAACAAACAAACCCTCAAACGTCTCATGGACGAGAATTCGACAGGAAATAAATTCACATTTACTTCAGTGAAGTTTACTCAGAATGTGGCCATAAAGAAATTCCTTTTAAAATAAAAAAGTTCTAGTGAAGGAAAAAAAAAACCCCATAAAGGCCGATACGCTGCTGCACTTAGACTTGAAAGGCAGGGGGCGCCGGCCAAATGTTACTGTTCTCAAGTTCAGCTGTGTTTGCTGAACCTCTTCAGTGACACCCTGTGGTGACATCTGTTGTTTCATTAGTCATTGCTGAAAGAATCCACATGACATCACAGCCCCTGATTGGTCGGTGGACCACAATATCCACGGCAAATTTTGTTTTTTAAATAAATGATTATGAAATGATGTTTTCAAAATTCATTTTTATTGGTTACGATACCGTACAATCGCAGAAAAAAAAATTGCGGGAAACAAAAATCTCCCACCGCTAGTCTTTACATGAGCAGGTTCTGGCTATTCTTTTCGCTCAGGGTTTCTGCCACGGTTTTACTGAACTGCGAACGCACTCTGTCTTTCTCAGCAAGCGTCAAGACAAATGTGAAGTCTTTTTGCCGTTAAAGTGTCAGCTAACGAGTTCGGACAGGTTCAGTGTTCCAGTAATACAGGTCTAAAAAATCCAAGACACAACGCCCAGCTCGCTGTTAGGTGAAGGCAGCGTGATGTGAAGAAGGCTGCAGCTGTTTCCCAGTGATGGAGATCATTGCTGATTTACTTCTAAATAACAGCCCTTCTCCTCACCCTCCCTCCTCTTTCCTCACCCCCTCCCCTCTCCTCACCCTCCCCTCGTCTGATATGATCAGCACTACATTTCTATCACGGGCTGAAGAACTGCCCCTCTGTGTGTGTGGAGTTCACCTCCAGTTGACGGGGCTGTGTTGTTTCCAAGGCGTTTCCAAAGTGTGGACCTCCCCACGAGGAGCAACACAAACAACTGCCCCGTAGACTCTAACCTCCACCCCACCCCTGCACAGATGTTCTCATGCATGACTACGACTACGACTAGGCACAAATGCAAACGAGGGCAAGTTATGATTATTATTATTATAGCTATTATCGTTTTAGTCACACTGTGGGAAAGGTTTTTGTTTCACCAAAGCGCCTCAAGCTTAAAATACCATCAATGTCCGGTGTGTGTTTGTGAAGGATTTAACGTCAAATTAAAGTATTCAATTGACAGCCCTAATATATATATGTATATAAATATATGTGTGTATGTTTTTTATAAGCTAGCTAGATTGGTGGAACTGTATTAATCGTATTCGTCGACATCTAGCTAGATCAACAGAACTGTATTAATCGTATTCGTCGACATTTTTAAATATGTAAAAAATACATATATACATATATATGTCACGGTTGTCAATGTCACAGTAAATTCGTAATTTACTGTGGGTTTACGTCACGATTAGTCACGATTAATTGAGATACATCTAGATTGATCAGGATTAGTCATTACCCGTACTTGTTTGACAGTCCAAATAAATACCACTCTTTATTCACATGATTCCTTCGTCATCTTGTGCGTATATATTGTAAACAAACTAAAATATATATAGATTTTCTTTTTCCCCCCAAATGACTTTTTCTGCAGTTTGACATGTCTGCAACCTCAAAAGCCTCACAACAGAACCCACTGTGCGTGTTTGTGGTTCAAAATGTAGGACACAGTGAGAACCTGCAACAAAAAGCAGGACTTGAAAGGGAACGCCGCCTCGGGACAAACAGACCAGGAATCCATTGAAAATGTAAATAACTGCCGTGTGACCACAGTGTCTGTGATTTTTTTTTTTTTCTTTTTTCTTTTTTTCAGTGGCGTGTGATCAGGTGGAGTGTCAGCTCGCCGTCTATTCCAGAGGCAGACATGTGATACAGTCTTTACACTCAGCCAGGCTGCACAGGAACATTAGTTTCTCAGTGCTCGCTGAAGGGAGACACAGTGAGAGCTGCTGCTGCTGCTGCTGCTGCTGCTGCCGCTGCTGCTGGTGCCTGTGGCCGCTGTGGCTCGCGCGGAGACTCCCCTCTCACTGGGAGGATGCAGACGGTGGCAGGAGAGATTCCACCGCACTTAATTAAGAGGCACTTTGTAGGCGCCAGCAAACGCAGAGGGACAAATGAATTCAGTGTCAATGAGAGGAGTGGTGTGTGAAAGGTGGAACTGAGAGAGAGCCGTACATCTACCCCCCCATTCTGCCCCTCTGCCCCCCCTCACCCCCTCCACCAGAGCCGCTCATTTCTGAATCACTGGACTGTTGCTATCAAAGTGCGGAGCCGGGAGACGGAGTCAGCGGAGTTCTCTCCTCCAGCCAGATTTTGACTTATCGGCTGCGATCAGCTCGAGCAGCACGATGGATGGATCTGTGTGGGTCCACTGAGACCTTCAGACAGTTTGTGTTGCCGTGCTCAGGTAAGGTTCGATTCTCTCATCTGGTTTGGCATGAAAATGGCTTTTTTTTTTTTTTTACAGTTTTTTATTCAAATGTGTCAACAATCCTGTGGGTTTTAAGTTCAGAAATGGAACCTGCAGTTTAGGTGAACGTGATCTGGTCGTGTCATCACCGACTGAAGTTAACAGACATTTCTACGCAACGAAGACATTTTTTTACTGATAATTACTTTTTTAAACCAAGACCTGAAATTAAAGTGTTTGACAGGAATTTGACCTAGAAAAAAAAAAACCCAAAAAAACATTTATTTCATAGGTAAGAGACAATAGGAACTGTTTCAGGTGTGGAATCTTGAGATCCAGTCACCTGGTACCGACATCAATATCTGCTCACTTTTCTGTTACTGACTTCACCAACAGAAATGGACCAAGATTTGTCAATTTCCTGCGAACGTGTGTGAGACATTTTCTGGGTTGAGCCACTGCGTGTGTGTGTGTGTGTGTGTGTGTGTCTTCTCCACAGCAGCTGTTCTCTCCTGACCAGCAGAGTTTCCTATTGTGGAGCTGCTTTCTTCTTCTTTTGTTTAATTTCTTCTTCTTCTTCTTCTTCTTCTCTCTCTCTCTCTAAACAGCGTGCTGAAAAATTACAGGGGCTTTTGATTTCTTTTGCTGCTGTGTCACTGTCACATTATTCTGACAGATACAGAAAAACCACAGCAGGCAGCTGCTTGCAAAATCTTATCTTTTTTTTTAGTTTGATTTTTTTTTTCAGTTTTTTTTTTTGCGTCAGAAGCACAGCTCAGAAGTTGAAGGGATTCAGCCTGTCGGTAGAGAAATCTCTGCTGCACGGGGGGAAAAACATACCCAGAGATCAGTCCATATTTGCAGCACTGTCTCAGGGACAAGACGGGGGAAAGTAAAAAGGGCGAAACTGCAGAGAAGAAGAAGAAGACGTTACTGACGTCTACCAGACCTAGTTTAGAAGTTTCCGGACAATTCTGGTCTATTTTATAAAATGTGATATTTATGGGTTTTTTTAAC